TGTGGTCTACCCCACCTTGCAGATTCCTTGACCGGCTCAAACAAAAAAAATATAGATACCCCCCACAAAGTCCCCGTAGATCCTAAAACTGTTGATTTTTGTTGAGCCTGTCCGGGTTTTGTGACTATGGGCGATTGATTTTTGCTTGGGCCTATCAAGGAATTTACATGTTTTGGCCTACCTCTTCTTGCAAATTCCTTGACAGGCTCAAAAAAAAATCAAAAATTTATACCCTCCACAAAGCCCCCATAGATCCTAGAACTGTTGATTTTTTGAGCCTGTCAGGGTTTGTGGCTATGGGTTTTAAGGATTCTTGCTATTTTTGAGCCTGCCAGGTAATTTGCAAGGTCGAGCAGAACAAAAATTGCAAACTCCTTGGCAGGCTCAACAAGTGATACCCTGTGTGTGTGTTTGTGTCAGCAAGCAAGCGCGCAGGCTAGACCGCTACACTTAGTGTTCTTGCCCTGCCAGTAAACAGGCTGCGCGGCGTCCACTGCACACCTCCAATGATGACTGATTTGGGTTTGTTGGGTAGAAGTCTTGTCAATAAAAATCGTGCTTGCAAACTTGGATGCGCTATTGCGCCCAGGCAAGTTTGCAACAGAAACACATGCGTAGGAAGCTGTTTGACTACGCGACAGCAACAAAGGGCAACGGCAATGATAGATCACGCGGTAGCGTGGCAGACATGCCTGGAAGCATCGCCACCAACATACATGCGTGGCCCATGCATAGGTTGCTCAACGTCGGAAGGATGGGCGGACAGGCGGCGGAAATTTGAAAAAAGAGGATCAGAAAGCGAGGCCGCGACTCAAAATGTTGGCTGCATTATGACAGTGGAAGAGAAACGGCGCCCGGATTTCGGCCTCGATATTTGCGCCGGTTGCGAGGACCGTTTTTCGCAATTTTTGCATTCGGGGGTTCGGAACAAATTCAAGGCTGCAAGGAGGTCCAAAGCAGAAGGGAACGAGATTCACTGGTGGCGGCGCGGCCCAATTCTTTGACATGGAACAGCGCAAGGCGACAGAAAGCTGCCCGCCATAAGTTCTGCCATCAGCTTGTAGCAGTTTTGTGGACGCGCGCTCAAAATGACTCCAGGCCATGGGGTCATCCTCAGGAACACTTGCGAGAGCAGCAAGCTGGGCGGCTGCAGCCTAGCGCTGGCATGCAGTTGGGCTTGAGCCTGTGAAATATCATTGAGCAAGCAGCAACAGAATGCACCCCAATTGGTAGAAGCCCTGCTGCTGCAAGGCATCCGTTGCAAATTGCAAATCTCCAGCACTGTGAGGGTACACCATGCTGAAGCCAAAACACACCAGTTTTTGAGGGCCCAGAAGCAAGCTCCCAAATACAGGCGTTGGAAGGGGCAGTGCGCAAGAAAGATGCTCCACATGATGTGACGGGCGTGGGAACAATCTTATTCAACACGCAGGGATAAAGTTCTGGCACGGTGTGTGCATGTTTTTTGGGCGTCCTTCTCCATTGCAATGCCTTTGATTTCTTGCGCAGTAAGCGCCATACTTGGTGAAATTCGAAATTTTAATTTTCATGGCAAGCACCATGCGGTGAACTGCTAATTTGATAATATTTTGTGGCACGGGCAGCATTTGGCAAACCTCTAGTTCCACTTTGCGTGGCAGGTGCAGCATTTGGTGGACCTCTAGTTCCACTTTGCGTGGCAGGCGCAGCATTTGGTAAGTTTCTAGTTCCATTTTTCGTGACACGCGCAGCGTTTGGTAGACCTCTACATCCATTTCTTGTGACAGGCGCAGCGTTTGGTGAACCTCTGTTTCCATTTGTCGTGGCAGGCGCAGCATTTGGCAAACTTCTAGTTCCATTTTTCGCGGCAGGCGCAGCATTTGGTGAACCTCTGTTTCCATTTTCGTGGCAGGCCCGGCATCTGGCCAACCTCTGCTTTCATGTTTCGTGGCAGCCACAAGGAATTTCAAGCTCCAGGTGGCCAAACGTGCGGCGAAACGCTTAATCGTGACGTTGGAGTCCGACGTTACGCCCGTTTTACATGGCAGGCGTGGGACAAAAGTCGAAATCGTAACGTTGGACGCATTTTTAAATTAGACTCTGTGATTCTTTTTTTAACCGCTCCAACGTTATGATTTTTACTTTTTTGTGAACCTGTCGCCAAAAACGGATCGTAACGTTGGATTCCAACGTTATGATTTACGTTTTCGTGTGGGGAGTACTTCGATTTTGGCCACGCTGACTTTCCGCTGAAATCGCGAAGCGCAATGTAAGTGATTGTCGCGTAATCACACCGCTGCATTTAAAGTTGTCATTTTTCGTGGTATGCGCAGCATTTGGTGAACCTGTAGTTTCATTCTTCGTGGCAGGCGCCGTATTTTGTGAATCTATGTGTTCACTTTTCATGGCATGCGCAGCGTTTGGTAAACCTTTGCTTTCATTTTTCGTGGCATGCGCAACGTTTGGTGAACCTCAAATGTCCTTTTTCCCAAAAGCATCTCCGATGCTTGGGTTCTCGTTTAGTCGCTAGTGCCGAAGGAGAGCGAGGAAAAGCTTACGTTGTCGGGGACGGAAGATGGAGGTGGAGGTGGACGGGGTTAGGAAGGGAAGAGGGAAGGGAAGGAAGAGGGAGGGGAAGGAAGGGAAGGAAGGGAGGGGAAGGAAGGGAGGGGAGCGAGACGGGAGGCGCACGGGTGGGGACGGGGTTGGGAACAGATGGAGGGGAGCGAGACGGGAGGGGCATGGGTGGGGACGAGAAGATGGAGGGGAGCAAGACGAAAGGCGCATGGATGGGGACGGGGCTGGGGAGGGAAGATGGAGGGGAGCGAGACGGGAGGCGCACGGGTGGGGACGGGGTTAAGATGGAGGGGAGCGAGACGGGAGCTGGCGAGGGAAAATGGAGGGCAGCGGGACGGGAGGCCGGAAGCATCACAAGCATCATTGCAAAATGTGCAGAATGCACGCGGCAGACATGGTTGCGTTGAGCACATGGTCGCACCACAAGCATCAGTGGCTCCTCTGGGGCAGTGCGCAAGTAGAACGAAGCATGGGTGGGGGTAGTGCTGGTCCAGCTTCGCGGAGGGACGTTGGGAGGTGAATGGAGCGATGTTGCGGGGCTTAGGTATGGTCTTGGGTGTCCAAAATATGCACAATGCCTGCGACAGGCAATGTTGCGTTGAGCACATGGTCGCATCACAAGCATCATGGTAGGCCGCTCCGGGTCAGTGCACAAGTAGAACGAAGCATGGGTGGGGGTAGTGCTGGTCCATGCTTCGCGGACGTGTGTTGGGTGGTGAGTGGAGCTGTGCTGCGGGGTTGATACGATGGGGTTGGGTGTCCAAAATGTGCACAGTACACGCGCGAAACAGTCAAGGCATGGCCGGCACGGGAGGAGCGTTATGTGCCACAAGCGCAATGTGGGAAATTGTACGGTTGGAACGAACCTTGGAGGGGGCCGATACTGCTCCAGGCTTCCTGGAACGGTTGTCAGAAGCCATGTTGCAATGTTATTGGAGACTAGCTGCAGATTGAGAACAACCAATTATATATATTATATATATACACCTAGAATCCGTTTGACCCCTTTTTTGACAGGAAAAGGCCATATTTGGGATAGTTGACCCTCCAAAACAGGGGTCACTCAGGTTCCAGGTATATGATACATCCAAAAGCCAACCCGACGAAAGACGGAACTGCCACGCGCCCAACGCCACACATGGCCCGAACTGGGGATCCGTCGGAGACCGTGCGGCGCAGAGTCGGAGCTAGCCCTAGAAGTACGCCAGGCGCTGGGGAGGGAAGATGGAGGGGAGCGAGACGGGAGGCGACGGGGCTGGGGATGGAAGATGGAGGTGGGACGGGAGGCGCGTGGGGTCGGGGCTGGGAGGGAAGATGGAGGGGAGCGAGACGGGGGGGCGCATGAAGATGGAGGGGAGCGAGACGGGAGGCGCATGGGCGGGGAGGGAAGAAGGAAGGGAGTGGGAGGCGCACATGGGTGTGGACCCGGCTGGGGAGGGAAGATGCATGGGAGTGAGACGGCGTGGCTTGGGTGTGGACGGGGCTGGGGAGCGCATGGGTGTGGGCGCTTGCGCGGCTGATATGCTAGTTACGAGGACATGGTTGCACCACAAGCATCATTGCAGGCTGCTCCGGGTCAGTGCACAAGTAGAACGAAGC